TGTTCTACTTAATATGACTGGTTTAATTCTGTAATTAATACACAGTTATTCTTAAGTGTTGAAATTTAACTGAAATGTGATCCCTGTTAAACATAAGAGTAGGAATAAGAGAGGGAAGACATGTACAATTTGGGACATGCTCAAGCTGACTTGCCCCAAATGGTAGAGTTAGAAACATACCAGGGGACTCCAATTTAATCCCATCAAGGTGGCATGTACCAATGCCATCTCACCAGTCCAAGTGATCAATTTCTGTTCACAATTGATCATAATGAAAGGACTAAGAGTCAAAGGAAGCACATAAACAAGTCTAGTACCTACTAATACTAACTGATAGCATAAATAAAGGGGAGAGTGATCCAACATGGGAAGCGAGATACTCAGCAGACTCATAGAATGGTGGATGTCCTAAACAGCACTCTGGCCTCAGAATCAGCCCTAAAGGCATTCCGATCTGGCTGAAAAGCCCATGAGAGTATTTCAGGCATGGAAAGCCAAGACTCTCTGGCAAAAACAAAAAACAAAAAACAAAAAACAACAACAACAACAAAAAAAACCCTAAATGAAAGATCTCTGTGAGTGAGATCCCAGTAGAAAGAACAGGTCTTCAAAGAAGGAGGTACCTTTCTCTGAAGGGAGGAGAGAACCTCCACTTTGAATATAACTTTGTCTAAACAAGATAAGAGTCAGTGAACTCAAAAGGCTTCCATAGCCTTGGAAACTCATGACTGGTGCATAGGGAGATTACTGATGCCATAAACAGGAGTGTCAATTTGTAAAGTCAACAACAGGAGTCACTGTGCACTTACTCCTCATGTAGGATCTCTGTCCTTAATGTGCTGTACATTGAAACTTAATGCTATAATGAGTACTCAAACAGTATATTTCGCTTTGTGTTTCTATGGGGGTGCAAACTGTTGAAATCTTTACTTAATGTATACTAAACTGATCCTCTGTAAAAAAAAAAAAAAAAAAAAAGAAATTATCAATTCCCAACTTGACTCTCACTGGGATTAAACATGACAATAGGTCTGATCTGATTTCATCATCATTTTAAAAATCATCTATTATTTTTCACTTTATGTTTCTGTGTGGGAGCAAACTGTTGAAATCTTTACTTAATGTATGCTAAACTGATCTTCTGTATATAAAGAGAATCGAAAATGAATCCTCATGTGAATGGAAGGGGAGAGGGAGTGGGAAAGGGGAGGGATGCGGGTGGGAGAGACGATATGGGGGGGAAGCCATTGTAATCCATAAGCCATACTTTGGAAATTTATATTCATTAAATAAAAGTTAAAAAAAATAAAAAAAGAAAGCCAGAATTGGATTAAAAAAAAAGAAAGAAAAATAAATGAAAGTGATACAAATTGTGAGGGAGGAAACCAAACTATCCCTATTTGCAGGTGACATAATCCTATATAGAGAGAGGTTCCTAAAAACTCCACTGAGAGATTATTGGAACTCATAGAAGAGTTTGGAAATGTAGCAGGATATAAAATTAACACACAAAAATCAATAGCCTTTGTATACACAGACAATGCCTCAATTGAGAAAGAGCATCTAAGATCAATCCCATTCACAATAGCTACTGAAAAAGATTAAATGCTTTGGAATAAATTTAACCAAAGATGTCAAAAGATCTCTATGATGAGAATTATTAAAGAAAGAAATAGAAGAAGACACAAAAAATGGAAAAATCTTACATGTTCATGGATTGGAAGAATCAATATCATCAAAATGTTCAAACTGCCAAATGCAATTTACAGATTTAATGCCAATACCAATCAAAATACCGGATATACTGTTCTCATATATAGAAAAAATGATGCTGAAATTCATATAGAAACCCAAGAGACATTGAATAGCCAAAGAAATCTTGTACAACAAAAACAAAGCCAGAGGCATCAGAATACCAAATTTCAAGACCTGCTACATTAGGCAGCTATAATCCAACAGCCTGGTACTGGTACAAAAACAGATGAATAGACTAATGGAACACCAAAAATCAATCTGAACATCTACAACCAACTTATTTTTGACAAAAAAGTTAAAATCAATCCCTGGAGCAATGACAGTCTCTTCAACAAATGGTGCTAGGACAACTAGATCGCCACATACAGAAACATGAAGCGAGACCCCTACCTTACATCTTTCCCTAACATCCACTCAACACGGACTGAAGACCTTAATCTATGACATGATACCATGAAATTATTAAAGAACATTGGGGAAACCCTACAAGACATCGGCATAGACAAAGAGTTCTTGGAAAATACCCCAGAGGAAAGGCAATAAAAACCAAAATCAACAAATGGGATTACATCAAATTGAAAAACTTCTGTACCACAAAAGAAACAGTAAAGTGAAGAGGCAACTTACAGAATGGGAGAAAATATTTGCAAATATACAATTGATAAAGGAATAATAACCAGAATATTTAAAGAGATCAAGAAACTCAACAACAAAAAAAACAAACAATCCAATTAAGAAATGGGCAAAGAATCTAAAAGACATTTTTCAAAAGTGAAATCCAAATGGCCAACAGACACATGAAAAAATGTTCAGAATCTCTAGCTGTCACAGAAATGCAGATCAAAGCCACAATGAGGTTTCACCTCACCCCAGTTAGAATGGCTTTAATACAGAAATCAACAAACAACTAATGCAGACAATGATGTGGAGAAAAGGGTAACCTAATTCACTGTTGGTGGGAATGTAAATTGGTAAAGCCACTATGGAAGGCAGTATGGAGGTACCTCAAAAATCTGAATATAGGCCTACCATATGACCCAGGCATCCCACTCCTGAGAATCTATGCAGAGGAAATGAAATTAGCAAATGAAAGAGCTATCTGTACCTCCATGGTTATTGTAGTTCAATTCACAATATCAAATACATGGAATCAACCCAAATGTTTATCAACTGAAGACTAGATAAAGAAATTATAGGACATTTACACCTTGGAATACCACACAGCAAAAAGAAAAAGAAAAGAAAAAAAGAAAAGAAAAAGAAAAAGAAATCCAGTCATTTGGAACAAAATGGATGTAACTGGAAAACATCATACTTAGTGAAATAAGCCATTCCCAGGGACAAATTCTATATGTTCTTCCTGACCTGTGATAACTAATAGAGCACCTAAAAGGTAACCTGTAGAAATGAAATTGACACTTTGAGAAGTAATGAGTTTGAACTGCCGTTCTCTTGACTGTTGAGGAACAGCTTTTTCTTTTTCTTTTCTTTTCCTTTATCATATTTTTCTTATCTTCTTTCTTTCATTCTAATCATTGAACTCTTTACTTAATATAGAGTTAACCATATATGTATAAAATTGATTGAAAATAGATCTTGGTAAAAAGTAAGAGTGAGAATAAGAAAGGGAAGAGGAAAAGGGGTGGGAGGGCAAGCATGATGGGAAGAATTACCAAGATCCTAAAGTTTTAATTGTGAAATGTATGAAGTTTGTAAGTGCAAAGAAATATAGTTCTGCATACATTCCTACAGATTTACTTCTAAGGGTACAATTTAAGGGCTGATTCTGAGGTCAGAGTTCTACTTAAAGTAATTGTCATTCTATGAGTCTGCTCTATGGACTGCTTCCCACATTGGAGCATTCACTCCTTTTTAATTCTGTTATTATTACCAAACACTTAGTCCTATTTATATGATTACTTTAACACTTGATCCTAACTATATGGTCACTTCAGTACTTAACCCTATCAATAACACCTATAACACCTAAGCTATCTATAACACCTAAGCTGCTATTTTTACCAGCCATCTTAAGGTAATTTGGGGTCCCATGGCAAGTTTTTAAACTGTAAGCCAAATAACCTTTGAGATGCAATAACTTCAAACAGCCCTTGTCTAGACTGTTGAGGAACAGTTTTTTGTTTGTTGTTGTTATTTCCTTCCTTCCTTCCTCCCTTCCTTCCTTCCTTCCTTCCTTCCTTCCTTCCTTCCTTCCTTCCTTTTCCTTCCTTCCTTCCATTTCCTTCCTTCCTTCATTCCTTCCTTCCTTCCTTCCTTCCTTCCTTCCTTCCTTCCTTCCTTTTTCTTCTTCTTTCTCATAGTAAGCATTGAACTCTGTATGTAAAGTTAAATGAAAATAGATCTTAGCGAAAAACAGGACAGGGAACCAGAGAGGGATGAGGAGGAGGGGTGGAAAAGTGGGTGGGAGGGCAGGTCTGGTGGGAAAAATTAGTATGCTTCTAATGTTTTATTTATGAAATGCATGTAAATAAATAAATAAATAAATAAATAAAATACATGTGTCAATTCTGTTGATGTGCCTTTGCTTTGTTTCTCTGGAGTATTTGGGCATCACTGGTCACTCACACTGTTTTTGGTTAGGGGTTGATATTCTCTTCTGGGTGACCACAAAACACCCTTATGAGGAGCAGATCCCTGAGAAGGCTGATAATTAAAACAGGAATAAGTTGTTTCACAGTTGCTTTATATATTCTCCTAGGGCAATTGTTTCTACCATGACTTCACTTTAGAATTACCTAGAAAATCTTTAAAATACTGATGCTCAAAACTCTGTTCAATTATTATAAAATAAATAAAGATTATTCACTGAAGTCTCTTGGATAAGTGAAAAAATGAGAAATTTCAAACATTAAGAATAATTTTTGACAGGACAAGTGAGAAATTACAAAGCCAGCAAACTTCATTTTGAGACTAGTGTAGCAGGCAGCTAAAAGCAGAAGTGGAGCCAGGACTTGAACATAGGAATCCCAAGCTGTGTTTTAACTACTATGCCAAACACCCACCTCCAAAGCCTTTCTTAAATTGGCCAAAGATCATAACCAGTATCAAATAAATGTCAGTTATCAAATGAAGGGGAGAAGAAAAAGAAAGTTCATCCTAGAGAGCAAAAACAGCATCCATGGAAATCCCCTACCTTTCACAGTGTCTGGCAGTAGGATAAAAAAATTACTGTTTCCCATTCAAACTTACTTTAAATGGAAGCTTTGTTGTTGTGATCATCCTGTCTTCAGATTACACAGCATCACATCCAGCAGCATGAAAAGAACTCCAGGAGACCTAAAGATTTTTAACTTTGAGCTGGATGAAATTATTATAAAATACATTGGTTTGGCTCCTTTCAAAAGGACATACAGCAAGACTGCTTCTCTTGCAGTGAGTTGGAGCCACATGACTCAATTTTATTAATAAAATGTGGGCAGAAGTCATATATATCCTCCTTTAGCTTGAATAAATTTCCTATATGTGACCCTCCTTTCTAACTTTTACATCTGTGGCAAACTTGGACATCAAATATCAAAGAAAATGGACAGGTTCTTGTGTGTACCCATCTCACTCATAGCCCACAGGGACTGACATAGCAATTCCTTATGGAAGCTGCATATTATCCTTTGTCTGCTAGAGGTGTTATCTCAAGCAGGGCCCTGAATATCCAAGAGCAAGACCCCAGTGTTGGACTCATCTGGAATTCCCATAGCCCTCCCATCTCCAAAGTTTCACTAAGAGGAGTTAGTGAGGATATTGCTATTCCACATCTTACCTTTGTTCTCTCTCTTCCTACTGTTTTTCTCCCCTTTGCTATGTATACTCAAGTTCTTCCCTAGGGAAAAGAAATTGGGAAATAAATTTAAGAACTACTAGAGAAAAATCATATTTCAAAGCACATAAAACACATTGATATATTTCAAATATATTACCTCCAGTTAAAATACAAATATGCATATGTTGATTGAATCTTTGCACTTAAAACCAAAATTATGGGTTTTCCACAAGACCATGAGAGATGATTTTATCAAATGCTATGTAATATTTATTTACTCTTCCCAAGCCACATGAAATAAATGAATATATTTAAATATATGCAAGTAAGCTACAGAATCAAATAGGTTCATAATCTTCTGGGTCTCCTAGCCTGGTTAGCCTATAACATCACAATGTGCTTGGACTTTCCACAGGACGATCCAAAACATCTTTTTGGTAGACCTCTGATTTAGGTTCATAATCTCTGCAGGCAGGAGACCTTTGCTCACTCCTTCCAGAAACTTTTTCTCAATGTCTTTCTTCCATAAGGTGAATTCCAGGAGCTTCTCCTTCATGTTAATTTCATCCAAGAGTGTCACTTCTGATTGGAATACCAAGGCTTGAAATGATTTTGGCTTAACGTATGCAGCAATTGCTGGATCAGCTAAAGGTAAACTTGAAGCAAAATACTGAGTTAAAGAGTCCAATTTAGAGGAAATATTTTATCTAATGTGAAAATAAGGAAATATCATGATGTGCATAGGCACTGCTCCAAAATCTAAAACAATGCTAGAGAAAAAAGTCAGTATATGCTTTATAGATCCATAAACTACTATGAAAAACAGGATAGTAAAGAATATCTAAGCTTCCAAGAATAACTTTACTTATTTATAGTGCACTAACAATGCTTTTATTCATTAAATGAGTAACATTAAAATTTTCGTATTTATGTAGTAATAGAAAAATATAATTGTATCTAAAATTTTGAGTTATATCGATATCTTTTCATAGAGTTCTGTGAAATGGTTCCTCCACATGGTCACCTGGTGATACAAAGGCATGGATCATTCCAGTACTGTACTAACTGCGGTAAAGACTGAGCTAAGATAAATTCTCTTTGCTTCAAAAAATTGACATAGTGGGGCCAGTGCTGTGATATAGTAGGCTAAGCATCTGCCTGCAGTGCTGGCATCCCATATGGACACTGCTTTGTGTCCTGGCGGCTCCTCTTCTGATTCAGCTTTTTCTTATGGCCTGGGAAAGCAGAAGATGGCTCCAGTGCTTGGGCCCCTGTACTTGTATGGGAGATCCGGAAGAAGCTCGTGGCATCAGATTGGCCCAGCTTCTGCCATTTTGGCTATTTGGAGAGTGAACCAGGAGATGGAAGAACTTTCTCTGTCTCACCTTCTCTGTCTGTAACTCTACCTCTCAAATAAATAAATCTTTTAAGACGTGACATAGGAAGAATAGAAAAAGAGATATCTATCTTGCATGAATTAAGAGGCAGTTTAAAGATCTCATTTCTACCCATCTAATCCTCTCAGGAATAATAAGAACATCAGTCTTCATTAAAGTAATCATTATTTTATAACTTTCTTTTTCACTCAGCATACTGAGAAAAAATTGGATATGAGTGGATAGTTGAATTTAACAGCTGCATGGTATTCTATAAAATGAAGAACTAATTTATAATATGAAGACCCAGTGAGAAATTTCTCCATCCAAGTCTCCTCCCAAATAACACAATATCCTCTGTGCTGACAGGCTAAAGACCTGCTGACTACTATGGGATCAACAAACGCAGGAGGATTGAGCAGAGGAAAAGCTGAGCAGTGCAGCCACACAGAGGGATTAGCCAGTCTCAGGGGGCCTCTGAAGTTGGGATGATCCTTCAGAGCTAGAGAAAGAGGTCTGAGCCTTTGAATTGCCACATGATCATTCCTTAGATATAGGCAGACCCAAGAAGAGGAAGAAAACTTAGCTAAGTGACTTACTGCAGCTAAAGGCAGTTCCACAGATGGTCCCCCAATCTCTTCAATTACCATTTATCCATCTCAGTAGAAAAGACTCCTGGCTGTTTGCCAATTTTCACCTTGCCATCCCTTGTATCTCAGAGACTGGTTTTCTTTGTGCCCACAGCACCTTTTTGGTCCAATCAACTACTGCTATATTTGTGGTTTTGACTTCACTTAACTACAAGGTATGAGGGTCAGAAACTTAAAGGAAAAACATTTTCAGTTTAGAATATTTTATTTAAAAGGCAACTATTGTCATGAGGTGCACCTGAGGTTTCATAGTTTCTCCTCATAAATCCTTTGAGAAGGAAATGACTGATTGGTTGAGAAAAGGCAGTGATAGGAAACAAAAATTGTCCTCATCAACTCTCTCCTCTCTAGGGTGCTCAGTTCTCTCCAGAAGACACCGAAAATATGAAAATAGTAAGCGCAAGGAAACTATACCTTTATCTGTTTTACCAAGAAACTAGAGCTGTGGCTTACCATGTAAAGTCACAAGACCAGCAGCATCAGCAGCATCTGTGAATTATTAGAAATGCAAATTCTCAGGCCCCACCACAGACCTATTAGATCACAAATATTGTGGGTAGGTCCCTGCAATCTGTGTTTACAAAATCTACAAGTGATTCTGATGTATGTTGGAGGCAGGGCTTAATTTACAGTAGGTGATCAGCATTCTCAGACAAATCTCTACAAGGTTTCTACAAGGTATCATATTTGTTCTTTTTCTGAATTTCAAAAGTAAATAATTTTACTTTTTCCTTGTTCTAAAATAGGGGAAATATTTAATCCAAAAAAAAGTATGAGAATGGAAATGCCATTCCTCAGAAAATACTATTGTGAACATTTTATTGTATTTCTTTCGAACATTTTTCATGCATATTTTGTAGAAAATATGAAGTTATGTTTGTTACTTTTTAAAAATATTTTTGTATATATTTATTCAAAAGGGAGAGAGAGAGAGAGAAATCTTTTGTCTGCCATTTCATTCTACAATTGGCTGCAAAAGCAAGGCTGGGCCACAGAAGCTAGGGATACATCTGGTCACATTAGTGGCAGGATTCTGAGTTCTTGGGCCATCTTCAAATTGCCTGAACTCCAGATGTATTAGCAGAAAGTTGGATTGGAAGGGAAGCATCGAATACTCAAAATGGCACTTGGATATGGAATGCTGGGAGTGTAAGCTGCAGTTTACCCTGCTGTGCCACAACCCTAGTCCCATGCTTTCTATTTTGGAACCTGTTTTTTTACTTAGTAATCTGTTCAGCTCAATACATGTGGATGAACAAGGATAACTCAGGGGACCCAGCCTATGAGTACAATTGAACTTACCTGTATGCAAAACCCATCCACATGCTTCCAAACTATTTCTCCAAGTTTAAAACTCTGGTTTTAAAGATTTGAAAGGACATTTGCATTTAAAAGAAAGCAATTCTTTTTTAAAAAATTTATTTATTTGAAAGGCAGAGTGACAGAGACAGAGAAAGAGAGAAATCTTCCATCTAGGAATTCACTCCTCAAATGGCCACAAAGCAAGGAGCCAGGAACTCCATCTGGTCCTTCCAATTGGTTGGCAGGGGACTGAGGACTTGGATGATCTTCAACTGCTTTCTCAAGCACCTTAGCAGGGAGCTGGATGAAAAGCAGAGCAGCTGGGTCTCAAACACACACCTGTGGCTGCTTAACCTGCTGCACCATAACACTGGCCCCAAAGCAAGCAATTCTTATTTTTGTGCATTGAAATAGTTACACAAACAGGGTATCAACTTAATGAAGCTAAATGGCTGAGAAAGAATTAGCTTGTAAAGCATTAGCTTGTAAAGCATTGGTTTTGGCTTCTAAATATGAGTGTTAGTTGCTGTAAGTTTCCACTTGACATCTCCTCCATTCTGTTCTCAGTTCTTAAGAAAGAAACATGTAGAAGAGGAGAAATGTTCTTTCTTCAGTTCAAGAATGCAGAGAACATTGTAAAGGTGAGTAAAGAAAGCCAGGGGCAAATTATTACATCAGAGATATAATTGTTTTGCAATTATATTGCACAATGCTGTTCAGGTTAGCAATTTCTAGAACATCAAGAACACAGTGCAGGTTTTTGAGTCAGGTCAAATCGGGATGGAATTTGTGCTCTGGCATTTGCTAGCTCTGTGGTTTGCTGTTAGTTTGAGCATGTTACTTCAACTTCAAAGTCGTGTTCTCACCTGAGAAAAGAGGATAATAATAGAAAGTACCTTGTAAGGTTATTTGAGACTTGAATAATGAATAAAGGGTTTGGTTCTGAAAACTTCCTTGTTTTCAAGAAAAGAAGAAACAACCAGATTCTATAGATCATGAGAAGCAAAGTGACCTGTATTGGCTACTCAAGTGTGGTAAATATTTGTCCTTTCTCCAATTTGTTACCTCTGAGTGAACTTGAAGGTAAACAAGTCAAACCCTGGGCTTTAATGTAAAGTCCTGACTGCTGGCCTTACTTCCTGGCCCCTTCCATTTGTTGCTGGTGGTTTTGCTCTCTTTTGGGATCCTACTTCTCCCTTGCAAATCAAATTTAGGATGAAGAAGGGTGAAAGAACAGGCAGGAGGGAGGGTAGGCTGGGAAGTATCATTATGATCCTGAATCTGTATATATAAAATACATGAAATTTGTATACCTTAAATAAAATTTCAAAAAAGTCTGGAAGTATCAGCTAATCATTAGCACGATCACATACTCTAATTAAACTGAATTGGAATGTTGTAATGTGTTGGTTTTTTTGCTCAGAAAGCTTTAACATTCAGTAATAACTTATTTCAAATTATGCAATGAATCTGAGAAAGAACGTGACACAAAGTAGTAGAACTAGCATTGGAGCTTGGGGCCAAGGATGTGTTGTTTACACTGGGCCAGAAAGGGAAAGTCATCAAGTCTCTCTCAGCATCAGTCACTCCCCCTGCTTTTGTTCAATGATAATTTCTGAGAGCTCCTGGCAACTCCAGCATCTTCCAGGACGATCATCTCTGTGCCTTGGATAGGCTTCTCTTCAGCCCTTCTCCTTCCAGCCGTCTCAACAAAGGGCAAAATGGCACGGTCTTGTTTCATAGAACCTTGAGCTAACACTCCCCTTCCTCAGAAAGGCTCTCTCATGCATGTTTCTGATAATTCTAACTCATTAGACACATATTAATTCATTTCTATTTGTAAAACTCACAATTCAAAATTAAAATATAAAAAGACTCCCCAAAAACTCTCCCACCCTGTCCTCCCTCAGTCTACCCTCCTTCCCTCCAATATAATCATTGTAATCTCTTTCTCATATCTTTATTTATTCATGCACAGAGAGTACACATATTAACTTTATTTCATGGATTTATCCCAAATATAGCATTTTATTTCCACTGTTCTGATATTGCCTATTTTTTTCATCTTTTTAGTACAGAAAGACCCCTATTACTCTTCTTTTTTATTTTTTATTTTTATTTTTTTATTTAATGAGCATAAATTTCCAAAGTACAGCTTATGGACCACAATAGCCTCCTCCCCCCCGTATCTTCCCTCCCACCCACAACGCTCCCCTCTCCTACTCCCTCTACCTTTCCCCTTCACATCATGATTAATTTTCAATTATCTTTATATACAGAAGATCAATTTAGCATATGTTAAGTAAAGATTTCCACATTTTGCTCCCACACAGAAACACAAAGTGTAAAATACTATTTGAGTACTAGTTATAGCATTAATTAAACACCTAAGAGTAATTCTACCCTATTACTCTTCTTTACCTGAATTGTGCTCCTTTTGAGAAGTGGGGAATGTACAGCCCATAAAATAATTTGGTCTGGCCCTGCAATGGCAACCACAGGTGGGACTTGAAATTCAATAAATCTATAGCAGGCTTTTTAATTTTTTAAGAGATTGATCAGTTGACTTTTTTTTAAAGATTTATTTATTTAAAAGGCAGAGTTATAGAGACACAGAGGCAGAAAGAGGTCTTCCATCCTCTGGTTCACTCCCCAAATGGCCACGATGGCCAGAGCTGAGGGGATCCAAAGCCAGGAGCCAGGAGCTTCTTCCACGTCTCCTACATGGGCATAGGGGCTCAAGCACTTGGGCCAACTTTCACAGTTTTCCCAGGCCATAGCATAGAGCTGGATCAGAAATGGAGTAACTGGGACTCCAAACTGGGACTCCAACCAGTGCCCAGATGGGATGCCAGAACTGCAGGCAGCAGCTTTACCTGCTATATTACAGTGCTGGCCCCAGCAGGTTAGCTTTTAAATAGATAATTTTGTGAGGCCCATGAATGATTTTATAAATACCGAAATGTCCCTTGACACAAGAAAGCTTCCCTACCCTGCTACATTAACTGTCTCCAACAAGAAGATTCAAGTGGTTTCCTGTCTCCTGACACTATAAGTAATGCCACATTGAGTAATATAGTAGATAAGTCATTTCACATAGATGTGCAAGTATTTTTATAGATTGCATTCTCAAGCTTAGAATTGATGAATCAAAGGCTATAATGCACATGTCATTTTGGTGGATACCACAAAATTAGCTCCATAGTGACTGTCTCAGTTTCCAGAGTACTGATAAATTATAATAATCATCTCTCCCCAAGGTCTTCATAGCAATGTTTTGTTTTTAATTTTTAAATTTATTTATTTGTGCATGTGTGTGTGGGGAGGAATAGAGAGAGAAAGAGAGACTGATTCTGTCTGCTGGTTCGAAAGTGTTTCCTTTTATTTCATAAAACTTTGGACTTTTACCTGATTACAAATGGCACATTCTTAATTTTAATTTATATTTGTGTTTTTATGAGTGAGGTTGAATATCTTTTATGTATATTTTTCTGCAAAATTTTCATGTTATCTGGCAACATTTCTATTGTGCCCCTTGTAACATAAATATTTAGTAGGTAATACTATTTTTCAAATGGTGCAATGCAAATTACTTGAGTATTTTTCATTGCCTCTACTAATTGCTGGCAAAAAAAGAAATTATTGGAATGGATGTTCTATAATAAAGTGTTATTACATTGTAGGCCTATTTAATTATATCTACCTACCAACTTTTATGAAAATACACTCTTTTGAAAAATCAGTAATGAGATATTAATTAATTTATTTTTACTAATAAACAACTTTTAAAGGGTAGAAAATATAAAATTGCATTACAAAATCAAGACAATATGAAGTCTTAAAACATAGGTAAATATATGCATTTTTGTATACAGAAACACAAATTTATATACACAAAACACCAAGGCAGTACTATCATTTTATGATAAAGAGAAATAATTACGTCTAGAGAAGTCCCTTGCTCCTCCACGTACCCCATGCTTTTCAGGACTGTAGTCAGCTCTTGCTGCACACTGTTCAAGGATCTAGCTCTTTTTGTTCAGCATTTCTGTGAGTCTGAACACAAAGAAGAGACATCGGTTGATTTCCACCTGGACAATGATCCAGGCACAGATACTGTAGTCCTGGGCTTCCAGGTAGTCACGGATCCTCAGGAAATATGTTTTAATCTGTAACCTAAGGATCTCACTACCCAAGGCTCCACTTTCCTGCTTCGCTTCCAGTTCCATGAATCCTTCTAGGTACTGCAGCTCTTGATGAAGTTCAATCAGGAATTTCTCCAAGTCATTTTTCTCCCCACCACCCAGGGAAATATTTTCTCTGAAGAGGCTGAAGATCTGCTGAAGTGTCTCATGGATTACAGCCAGTACTTGTGCCTTTTGGTACTGATGAGGATTCACAGACTTCAGGGGAAGCCGGAAATCATTCCTGTGTGGTAGACATTGCTGGATTCTCAACTTTTGTAAATTATTCCAGGGTTTTAAACTCCTTGTGTTCATTCTTCTTTGTTGGAAGGGAACCCGTTTCAGTTTTAGGGAGAAGATAGTAGATGAGGCCAGCAGCACCAACACAATTTCAAAGAAGTACTTGTAAGTCATGATGAAGTTCAAATGCACTGTTTATCTCTTTGAAGATTTAGTAATGTTCACTCTCGTGTTTGCTTTTCATGTGTCTCAGGTTATACTGGAAGGCGTTTTCTTTTGTTGGTTTTGTTTTTTAATGTTGTCCTTTCTGCAAGTTTATGCATTGGTTGTTCAGGTTTCCTTTTTATGGTGTTCATGGAACACTTCCTCCATTTTCCTCATTGTGTTGGTTGTTTGAGGAAGTAACCAAAAGAATTTGTTTCAGTGCATGCTTTCTTTGAGAAAATTACAGATTAGTCATCAAAATGGTCTTCCATAAATATCATTATTTATTATATACCAGGTTTCACTTAACACATTGTACTTTCTAAGTATTTAGTTAAGCTTACTAAAACTCTTTTATTGAGAAGAACTGTTTCATTTTAAAACAGTAGTCTTTCATGGAATAATAGAAACGCTCATCAGGCACTCGGGGAAAAAATCAAAATCCACACAGATTACTGACTTTAAAATCTTAAGTAGAACTGTACATTTTCACAAATACTTGAACAATTAATCTTAAAATATGGATCAACAATCTTTAATTGTTTTATGCTTACCCAATCAACTTAATATGGAAGATTCTAGCCTATAGACGTAGTGTGAAAGAGAAAAAAAATAGTGAAAGAACATAGTCATGATAGTATTGCAGTAGCAGAATATTTGAAACAATCTATAGGTTCAACACAGGAGAATGACTACACTTTTGTTGGTACATATGACAGTACTTCAAAAAGTTCATGGAAAGTGGAATTAAAAGATAAATTTATTTTGGTGCAATAAATTTTAAATCAATGCATACTTTTTCATAATACACATTTCTACAAATTTTTGAAGACCTCTCATGTATACAATTGCAAAAGATTTTTGCTCTATTAAACTCCCCATGTAGGATCTCTGTCCTTAATGTGTTGTGCTATGCGAATTAACAGTAAAACTACTACTCAAATGGTACTTTATATTTTGTGTATCTGCGTGGGTGCAAACTGTTGAAATCTTTACTTAGTATATACCAATTTGATCTTCTGTATATAAAGATAATTAAAAATGAATCTTGATGAAGAATGGGATGGGAAAAGGAGTGGGAGATGGGATGGTTGCGGATGGGAGGGAGGTTATGAGGGGAAAAGCCACTATAATCCATAAGCTGTACTTTGGAAATTTATATTTATTAAATAAAAGTTTTTTAATGGCCGGCACCGCGGCTCAATAGGCTAATTCTCCGCCTGAGGTGCCAGCACCCCAGATTCTAGTCCCGGTTGGGGCGCCAGATTCTATCCTGGTTGCCCCTCTTCCAGTCCAGCTCTCTGCTGTGGCCCAGGAGTGCAGTGGAGGATGGCCCAAGTGCTTGGGCCCTGCACCCGCATGGGAGACCAGGAGAAGCACCTGGCTCCTGGCTTTGGATCGGCTCGGTGCACCGCAATGCAGCAGCCATTGCGGGGTGAACCAATGGAAAAAGGAGAATCTTTCTCTCTGTCTCTTCTGTCTCTCTCTCTCACTGTCCACTCTGCCTGTCAAAAAAAAAAAAAAAAAAAGTTTTTTTTAAAAAAAGAGCCGAGGATTGCAAAAAAATATTTTTGCACCAAAATTAATCTATATTTTATTTTTCACAAATTTTTCAAGTTCCTTCATATAAATTGGTAGATTGCTGTAATGAAATATTATATAGTGGGCCCAGCACTGTGGTGTAGCAGGTAAAACTGCTGCCTGCAGTGCTGGCACCCCATATGGGCGCCAGTTCCATTCCTGGCTACTCCACTTCCCATCCATCTCTCTGCTATATCCTGGGAAGGCAGTGGAGGATGTCCCAAGTCCTTGGGCCTCTTTACCACATCGGAGACCTGGAGGAAATCCTGGCTCCTGGCTATGGATCAGCACAGCTCCAGCCATTGCGGCCGTCTGGGGAGTGAACCAACGGATGGAAGACCTCTCTTTCTCGCTGCCTCTCCTTCTCTCTATGTGTAACTCTGACTTTCAAATAAATAAATAGATCTTTTTTTAAAAAAAAAAAGTCGACATCATACCTAGTGCTAATAGTGCTAACTGTGCAAAGGTAGGTTATATCGTGTTAAACCTTGTGCTCATGACTAAAAGCTAAGCATTCATGTTTTATAAAGTTCACACTAGACGTTATTCTGTAAAGCAATACTCTTTGAAAAGTTACAAAACTTTTCACTTGTTAAAAATAATTTCATTAGAGTTACTGGTTGCTTAATATCTACACATGGTATTCATCTACTTGAGACCATGGTGTCTGGCTGACAAATGTCTGAATACTTCATTCACATTTTTGAGCCACTTAGAGCAACCAGTACTTTATCAAAGGATCCAGTGTCCAAAAGGCTCTATTCTTTCCAGATGGCTGCAAGAGAAGCTAAATGATTAAGCAAGAAATAGAGAAAAGAAAAAATCTGTTATATTTTATCATTCAAATTACAGAATTTGAATATTGAAGTCCTAGAGAACTGGATTGGATTCCTGTCTCTACCAATTACTCATTGTATGACTTTGAGCAAATTATTTACTAAATCTCTTTGCCTCAGCTTTAAATCTCTAAAACCAAACTCATAAAACACTTTTGAGGAGTAGCAAATAAATCATTCTACATAAAAAGCAATATGGTGCTTGAAATATGATAAATGACTAATGCATACTAGTTCACATCCAGTTGATACATTGTTCTTAGGAATTCATAGTTATAGTAAAACATTTTTACAAATAGAATCTGAAGACATAAATTAAATATTGGACATTTTTATCTTCTTATGGATCTTCTAATAATAAATGAGATGCTTTTCTTCTGGAAGGATATGATCTCCTTATATCTGAATAATCTTTATTGTAGAAGCAACTCCAAAAATGTTTTTGAATTTCTCTCTTTCTTTCCCATAAAGTAATTCAGGACATTGAATCGTATCTTAATTTCTCTGCAGGTAGTTGTTGGAGAGAATCCCTAAATGTTGAAAACATACACTTTGTAAACATGTATTGTCTTATTATATACCAGCTCAGCAATATGTTGGTATTGCTTAATCAGTCTGCTCTTAATAAGTTATGAGGTCTTTTCCCTCTCTCTGAGAGAGAAAGAGTCACACACACACACACACACATACTCAGAGAGAGAGAGATGAGAGAGAAAGAGAGATTTAATGGCAATTTATAATACACAAGAGGAATAACACTTGTTTCAGTAATGTTCTATTTAATCTGTCTGAATATTTGTCTCAAGCCTTTAAATCTTTAATGCAGAGCTTTACCAAACAATATAAGGATAAATTAAGAATATTAGAAGTTATTCTATTGTATGAAAACGAGCTCTGATTTATAATCAAAGCTTTCACATAATTTACATTCAACTAATAATAATAACTTAAAGTTTTGTTGTTTAATTTCCAAATACTAGGAGATTTTCCAGATACATTTTTGTTATTGATTTCTAATTGGAACCTATCAAGGTTAAAGAACATAGTTTAAGCGGGTGGGCATTGCATTACAATAGGTTAAGTTGCCACTTGGAATGCCTGCATCCCATAATAGAATGCCAGGGATCAAGTTCTGCCTCCACTTTTAATCCAGATTCCTGTTAGGTATACTCTGTGAGGCAGCAGGTAAACATTCAAGTTCTGTAGTCTCTTTTATTTTCATGAGAGAGAGACCCAAATGGAGTTCCTAAATCCTGATTTCAGCTGTTGTTGGTATTTGTGGAGTGAACCAGCAGGCGGAAGATCAATCTCTCTCTCTCTTTCTGCTGACCTTTCAAATAAATAAAAAATAATTAAGTGAACTTTTAAAAAAATGTAGTTTAAGTTTATTGAAACTTGATTATGACTTAAAAATGATCTTGTTCGTCATAATATTCTTTATTATGAAATCAACTTTAAGAAATCCTCATGATTCCTTTTGATTAGTGTTTACACAGTATTTTTTACATTCTTTTATTTTTAACTTATACATATTTCTATATTAAAGTGATTTTTCTTGCATCAGCATATAATTAGACCTTACATTTTAATCTAAACTTACAATCTGGATTTTTTTCATGATTGTGATTTTGTTTTTAATTTTCTAAAGTCTTATGATAACATAATTTAGAAATTTTGTACTGATGGTATATCTCCTCTACCTTGTCCTTCTAATGAGTTGGCAAAAGCACCATATAATAAACACAAATATACAGTAGTTTCTCAATTTTATGTGTTTCCAAATAGCTGTTAATAGACAATCCTGAATTATAACTTAGTCTAAGGTAGTTAAGAATCCAAAAGTGAAGTCTAACTTGTTACTCTACTGGTCATGCTGACTTTCAAAACACCTGACCTTAAAGATTATCTATAAAATGTGAGAAGTGTTAAATATCCTTTACTTAATATACATAAACCATACTAAAATGATTGACACAGCTAAGATCAGAAATAGGAAGTAGACATTTCTACGGATCCCAGCTCTTGCCTTTAGCAGATAAAGAACACAAGGAAGTCTTGCTCGGTTCTGAGACAGTGAAGTGAATTTCCCAGTATTTAAATAGAAATCCAATCTCCCAATAGGATTTTGGATGGCATTCAAAATTTTTTCAAAAAGTTGAACATTATTAGTTAAGTCCAATCATTTCTTAGAAGGGGAAAATAGGGAGGGCAGTTACTGAACTGGAATTACTACCAAAATTTCAATAAACTCAATCCTATTTATTTAATCACACAAGGCAATCTTAGACTGTGGAACAAAAATATTCTGTTAGCCATTCATGATATGAATTCTGGTATATATAGAATTAAATTATGGTGCACATAAAAAGTTATGAGACGTTCCTGTTTTATAATAAATAACGCAGTGGCCAACTATTACTCATTAGTAGCTTTTTTAGATAGGTTATCAAGTTTGCCCTTTCATTCTTCTTAATACCAGTGAAGATCATTTTGGCTCCAGGGATGTATTTTTGGGGATTCTCCAAATACTCCATCAGAGTGTCCTTTCCCAGGTGATGTCTTTGTTCTTACTGACATCTGTGTAAGAGAATCTATTGGCCTGACCTGTATTCTACTTGAACAGACCATGAAGATTTGGTCCAGTCTTGTGCTTGCCTTCCTTTTCCACAGTGTGGCACTGGGTGCATTTCTGAACGAAAATCTTGCCTTTCTCAACATCACTCATTTTAAATTTGGGGCTTCCACACAGGCTTGGTTGCTTGTGGTTCAACAGCCTGGATGGGAGTTTAGATGACCTGCTCTCTAACAACAATCTTTGTTTTTAATTGCAGTGCTTAGCTTAGGTCATTCACAATTAATGAGACTATCAGTATGACAGGGATACCATTCTGCTATTTGTTTTCCAGTTGTCCATATGTTCTCTCCTTTCCTTTTTCCTTTTC